GCCGGCGCCAGAGGGGAGGCGGCGGTGGCCGGCCCCGCGGCCAAGGGCAGGAGGCGCGGCCGGAGGTGTCCGCACTAGCGACTTAGGAACGGACCCGAGGGTCCTGCTGCAGGGGATTTTCAACTTGGGAGTTTCACGGTGCCCGGGCCAACTCTTGGGACCCTCGGCCCAGCAGTGGCTGTAGAATCGGTCTAAACTGATACCGGGCTGGAGAAGGCCCAAGGGCTGAGAATGCACCTGGCCCCTAAGATGACAGTTCCCAGGAATAGATATCACAAAACGATGTGTGTGCCCCCTGCAATAAGAGACCAAATACCCCAGTGGAGTGTATTGCCCTGACCTGGGAATGACCTCTGTGGTCATCCGTTCTACTCACGGGAAGAAATCCAATGATCCTAATACAATCCATGTAGAAAGCCGCTATTTGGTGCAAATGGTTACCTCGCTGGCTGATAACCAAAAGGTGAGAAGATGCTGTCAGTTCAGAGACACCTAGGAAGAAAGGACTGGCGATCTTTTTTTTTACTTTTTACTGTGAACTGAGTGAAAGTCCACTGAGAAGACCGTCAGTTTCACATGCAGCAAGTCACACAGAGGTGGTCTCGGTTCATCACTGCAATCCCCTGATTGTACCAGCACTCTTCCCACGTCCCCTTTGAGTTGCCTATTTCCATTCCTCCTTCTTCCATAACCCTTCTGAACTTGGAGTAAACGCTGTCTTTTTAATGCACATGGTCAAGTCAAAAGTGTGCATATTCCCCGAGGGTCATTGTGTACCTTATAGACTTGTCTAGTGTTTGGCTGGAAATTGAGCCATTTCCAGACCTGAAGGGTATGGGCCATCAGCTCAGGGGGGGGTGTGTGACACCAGTCTCTTTCTGACCAGCAAGCCTGGTCTCTTTTCTGATTCTGAGTTCTGTCCCACATGTTTCTCTCACTCTATCCAGGATCTTCTAAGGTGACCCTTTCAGAGCAATCGGTAGTGGTCGCTGAGCACCATCTCCTTCTGGTCTCAAGGTCGTGGAGACTGAGGTTCTCACGACGCATGAGTCTATGGGACTAATTGTTTCTTTTCATGTCTGACCCATCACGCTCCTTTCATCCGGACCGGGGCAGACCAATAGCTAACTATACCTTAGAGGGCCTCTTAGGAGCTTTTAGGACTCCTGGCTATCCACTTGTGAAAAAGCAGTTATTAAAGACCCTGAGAGAATACAGGTCTGAGCTGAACTAGGCCTGGCATCTAGGGGTCACCATAAATTGGAATTGACTCAGTGGTAACTGGTTAGTAGTAACCTAATTATTTGAGGCAGGTGGCCTCTAAAATTTACTCGATTGATAGCCAATAACTTGGGCTTACAGATATGGGTATATGTGGCAACTAATTCAGCCTAGCATGTTCATCAGAAATCTCAAAAGGGTGATGGTAGGTAACTTGTGGGGAACAGAAGGATTTCTCTTAAGTTGTCTCCCCAAAATATGTACCAGACTTAGCTGCTTAAGCGTAACCGTACAATAGGCAGCGAAAGTAGGTCAGAGGTTATTCTCCTTAACATTGGCCATCTGTAGTGGCTAGACTATTAGTCTGACTCACCCTGAATAAGACCCACTCCCTTCTGATAAGGATAATGGTGGTCTATTCAGTTGCAAGAGATACCAGAGAGGGCAAACCCGCCCAAGGGTGACCAAGGTTAGTTAGCCATTATCAGCTGTCTAGATCAAGCAGATACCACAGTCTATTCCACAACCAATGTGGGCACACCCCTAGGTGATTCCTCTCCTATTGATTGTATTGCCTATGTTAATATCCCTACTGGTGACTCAGGTTATTGTCCACTATCAGGGAACTTGCATGCCTCCCAGAATAGTAATTGTCTGTTTTTATTATGTGAGACATTAGAGTGATCAAACTTGTTCTAGAATGAATTGTATAGCCCTTTATGTGATGTATAACTCTATGATGCGTGGTTAGCAATAAATAATGAGGCTCCCTGGTTCTCGGGAGGGTGGCCAGAAGGTGACTAAGGAGGACGAAGCAGCGGCTTCTTCTCTGACGGCTAAGCCCCCTCCACGAGGACCATCAAGCCGGGCTGAGGTGAGATATGCTACCATGAATTGCGTCTGACTCCATTACTTGACTCTATCCTTTAACTCTCATGCTCTCTATGACTTTACTATAATCTCTACTTATTATCGCTGTACAATTGCGCCTACCAAACCTGTGATGTTTTGTGGGGTTCCCTCTTACCCTTAACCCCACAGTAACTGGTAAATTTAGTGTTGAAATGTTTTCAAACACAAACAATCCCCACTATTTCCTGTAGTGTATCTGTCCGGACCTAATTATTGTCCAAAAAAGGTCTTGGAATATCTTGCCAACTATTTTCACTGTCCTCACACTACTCCTGTGGGAAGATCCATCCAACCATGAGTATTAGGGCCACCATGTCCACAAAAGGAGATAAACTCTACCGTCTGCTTCACTAAACTATAAAGTGTCTGGATCTAGAAGATTAGTACTAAAATTTCAGGAGTAGATAACAGATTAGGAAGGGAAAAGAGTATAATTGATCCAGTGGAAGACAGAATTAATGAAATCTTAATCTGAGAGGAACAATCAGGAAAAAAGGAAGAAAATAATTGGAGAAAGCCTATGAATTACGTTGACATTACCAAGAGAAATAAATTAAATATGATAGGAATTCCATAACAGGAGAAGACATTACCCCCTAAAAATAAATAAATTTGTCAAAGAATGTTAAAGAATTTTCCCCTGATATTATAAAGACAAGAAAACATGTATTCAAGAAGCTCAATGAACCTCAATCTCTATGGCATTACTAAGACATCATAATCAACTTTCCAAAATCAAACACAAAGAAGGAATCCTGAAAGCCACTCAGGAAAAACAAAAGGTTGTCTACAAATGAGAAACAATAGGATTACACGTACAGTCACTGCCAGTAAGTTGCTTCTGATGAATAGTGACCCAACAAGACAGAGTGAAACTGGCCCCTGTGGGTTTCCAAAACTGTACATCTTTACTGGAGTAGAAAGTCTCATCTTTCTCCCCACCCCCCTCCCCAGAGCAGTTGGTGGGCTTGAACAGCTGACCTTGTGGTTAGCAACCCAACGCATAGCCCACTACACCACCAGGACTCCTAATATTATCAAAGATGAGAAAATATGCATTCAAGAAGCTTAACAAACCTCAATTACTACAACCTGAGCCCCATAAGAAAATTACTAAGATGTCCTAAGCGTCCCAAAACCAAAGAAACAATATGATTAAGCTCTGATTTCTCCAGTTGTGATCAAAAGGATAGTATTTGCCCAAGGGGAAAGGTCAGAAGGGTTAGGAAATAAGGTGGAATGGAAAGAGGAAACTCAGGAAGGAAATGGAATAAATGATATTATAGGGATTGCATTCAGTAACATGAAACAAAAGGTGCATGTATTGTTGAATGGAAAGATGATCTGCTCTGTAAACCTTCTCTTAGTTCACAATAAAAAGTTTATTAAAAAATTTAAAAGACCCGCCAGGCCTTGAGGACGATGACCCCAATTAGAGCAGCCATCCACAGAGAGAACCACATGGCCAGCCCCACTATGAGACATGATGCCCCTCACTGACCCATGGCCCTGCGGGGGACAGCACCAGAGACACAGTGTGGGAATTGCA